TCAGTGTGTGGAGGAGAAGGAGTGTGTGTTGTCAGTGTGTGGAGGAGAAGTGTGTGTTGTCAGGTGTGTGGAGGAGAAGGAGTGTGTGTTGTCATGTGTGTGGAGGAGAGGAGTGTGTGTTGTCAGTGTGTGTGGAGAGAAGGAGTGTGTGTTGTCAGTGTGTGGAGGAGAAGGAGTGTGTGTTGTCAGTGTGTGGAGGAGAAGTGTGTGTTGTCAGTGTGTGGAGGAGGAGTGTGTGTTGTCAGTGTGTGGAGGAGAAGTGTGTGTTGTCAGTGTGTGGAGGAGGAGTGTGTGTTGTCAGTGTGTGGAGGAAGGAGTGTGTGTTGTCAGTGTGTGGAGGAGAGGAGGTGTGTGTTGTCAGTGTGTGGAGGAAGGAGTGTGTGTTGTCAGTGTGTGAGGAGGAGAGTGTGTGTTGTCAGTGTGTGGAGGAGGAGGAGTGTGTGTTGTCAGTGTGTGGAGGAGAAGGAGTGTGTGTTGTCAGTGTGTGAGGAGAAGGAGTGTGTGTTGTCAGTGTGTGAGGAGGAGGAGTGTGTGTTGTCAGTGTGTGGAGGAGAAGGAGTGTGTGTTGTCAGTGTGTGTGGAGGAGAAGGAGTGTGTGTTGTCAGTGTGTGGAGAGAAGGAGTGTGTGTTGTCAGTGTGTGGAGGAGAAGGAGTGTGTGTTGTCAGTGTGTGGAGGAGAAGGAGTGTGTGTTGTCAGTGTGTGGAGGAGAAGGAGTGTGTGTTGTCAGTGTGTGGAGGAGAAGGAGTGTGTGTTGTCAGTGTGTGGAGGAGAAGGAGTGTGTGTTGTCAGTGTGTGGAGGAGAAGGAGTGTGTGTTGTCAGTGTGTGGAGGAGAGAGTGTGTGTTGTCAGTGTGTGGAGGAGAAGGAGTGTGTGTTGTCAGTGTGTGTGGAGAGAAGGAGTGTGTGTTGTCAGTGTGTGGAGAAGAAGGAGTGTGTGTTGTCAGTGTGTGGAGGAGAAGGAGTGTGTGTTGTCAGTGTGTGGAGGAGGAGAGTGTGTGTTGTCAGTTGTGTGGGAGAAGGAGTGTGTGTTGTCAGTGTGTGGAGGAGAAGGAGTGTGTGTTGTCAGTGTGTGGAGGAGAAGTGTGTGTTGTCAGTGTGTGGAGGAGGAGTGTGTGTTGTCAGTGTGTGGAGGAGAAGTGTGTGTTGTCAGTGTGTGGAGGAGGAGTGTGTGTTGTCAGTGTGTGGAGGAGGAGCGTGTGTTGTCAGTGTGTGGAGGAGAAGGAGTGTGTGTTGTCAGTGTGTGGAGGAGAAGTGTGTGTTGTCAGTGTGTGGAGGAGGAGTGTGTGTTGTCAGTGTGTGGAAGAGAAGTGTGTGTTGTCATGTGTGTGGAGGAGAGTGTGTGTTGTCAGTGTGTGGAGAGAAGGAGTGTGTGTTGTCAGTGTGTGGAGAGAGAGTGTGTGTTGTCAGTGTGTGGAGGAGGAGTGTGTGTTGTCAGTGTGTGGAGGAGGAGTGTGTGTTGTCAGTGTGTGGAGGAGAGAAGTGTGTGTTGTCAGTGTGTGGAGGAGAAGGAGTGTGTGTTGTCAGTGTGTGGAGGAGAAGGAGTGTGTGTTGTCAGTGTGTGGAGAGGAGTGTGTGTTGTCAGTGTGTGGAGGAGGAGTGTGTGTTGTCAGTGTGTGGAGGAGGAGTGTGTGTTGTCAGTGTGTGGAGGAGAAGGAGTGTGTGTTGTCAGTGTGTGGAGGAGAAGTGTGTGTTGTCAGTGTGTGGAGGAGAAGGAGTGTGTGTTGTCAGTGTGTGGAGGAGAAGGAGTGTGTGTTGTCAGTGTGTGGAGGAGAAGGAGTGTGTGTTGTCAGTGTGTGGAGGAGAAGGAGTGTGTGTTGTCAGTGTGTGGAGGAGAAGGAGTGTGTGTTGTCAGTGTGTGGAGGAGAAGGAGTGTGTGTTGTCAGTGTGTGGAGAGAAGGAGTGTGTGTTGTCAGTGTGTGGAGGAGAAGGAGTGTGTGTTGTCAGTGTGTGGAGGAGAAGGAGTGTGTGTTGTCAGTGTGTGGAGGAGAAGGAGTGTGTGTTGTCAGTGTGTGGAGGAGAAGGAGTGTGTGTTGTCAGTGTGTGGAGGAGGAGTGTGTGTTGTCAGTGTGTGGAGAAGGAGTGTGTGTTGTCAGTGTGTGGAGGAGAAGGAGTGTGTGTTGTCAGTGTGTGGAGGAGAAGGAGTGTGTGTTGTCAGTGTGTGGAGGAGGAGTGTGTGTTGTCAGTGTGTGGAGAAGAAGGAGTGTGTGTTGTCAGTGTGTGGAGGAGAAGGAGTGTGTGTTGTCAGTGTGTGGAGGAGGAGTGTGTGTTGTCAGTGTGTGGAGGAGAAGGAGTGTGTGTTGTCAGTGTGTGGAGGAGAAGGAGTGTGTGTTGTCAGTGTGTGGAGGAGAAGGAGTGTGTGTTGTCAGTGTGTGTGGAGGAGAAGGAGTGTGTGTTGTCAGTGTGTGGAGGAGAAGGAGTGTGTGTTGTCAGTGTGTGGAGGAGAAGGAGTGTGTGTTGTCAGTGTGTGGAGGAGAAGGAGTGTGTGTTGTCAGTGTGTGTGGAGGAGAAGGAGTGTGTGTTGTCAGTGTGTGGAGGAGAAGGAGTGTGTGTTGTCAGTGTGTGGAGGAGGAGAAGGAGTGTGTGTTGTCAGTGTGTGGAGGAGAAGGAGTGTGTGTTGTCAGTGTGTGGAGGAGAAGAAGGAGTGTGTGTTGTCAGTGTGTGGAGGAGAAGGAGTGTGTGTTGTCAGTGTGTGGAGGAGAAGGAGTGTGTGTTGTCAGTGTGTGGAGGAGAAGGAGTGTGTGTTGTCAGTGTGTGGAGGAGAAGGAGTGTGTGTTGTCAGTGTGTGGAGGAGAAGGAGTGTGTGTTGTCAGTGTGTGGAGGAGAAGGAGTGTGTGTTGTCAGTGTGTGGAGGAGAAGGAGTGTGTGTTGTCAGTGTGTGGAGGAGAAGGAGTGTGTGTTGTCAGTGTGTGGAGGAGAAGGAGTGTGTGTTATCAGTGTGTGGAGGAGGAGTGTGTGTTATCATTGTGGAGGAGAAGGAGTGTGTGTTGTCATTGTGTGGAGGAGAAGGAGTGTGTGTTGTCAGTGTGTGGAGGAGAAGGAGTGTGTGTTGTCAGTGTGTGGAGGAGAAGGAGTGTGTGTTGTCAGTGTGTGGAGGAGAAGGAGTGTGTGTTGTCAGTGTGTGGAGAGAAGGAGTGTGTGTTGTCAGTGTGTGGAGAGAGAAGGAGTGTGTGTTGTCAGTGTGTGGAGGAGAAGGAGTGTGTGTTGTCAGTGTGTGGAGGAGAAGGAGTGTGTGTTGTCAGTGTGTGGAGGAGAGGAGGTGTGTGTTGTCAGTGTGTGGAGAGGAGTGTGTGTTGTCAGTGTGTGGAGGAGGAGAAGGAGTGTGTGTTGTCAGTGTGTGGAGGAGAAGGAGGTGTGTGTTGTCAGTGTGTGGAGGAGAGGAGTGTGTGTTGTCAGTGTGTGGAGGAGAAGGAGGGTGTGTTGTCAGTGTGTGGAGGAGGAGTGTGTGTTGGAGGAGTGTGTGTTGTCAGTGTGTGGAGGAGAAGGAGTGTGTGTTGTCAGTGTGTGGAGGAGAAGGAGTGTGTGTTGTCAGTGTTTGGAGGAGAAGGAGGGTGTGTTGTCAGTGTGTGGAGGAGGAAGGAGTGTGTGTTGTCAGTGTGTGGAGGAGAGAAGGAGTGTGTGTTGTCAGTGTGTGGAGGAGGAGGAGTGTGTGTTGTCAGTCGTGTGAGGAGGAGAAGGAGTGTGTGTTGTCAGTGTGTGGAGGAGAAGGAGTGTGTGTTGTCAGTGTGTGGAGGAGAAGGAGTGTGTGTTGTCAGTGTGTGGAGGAGAAGGAGTGTGTGTTGTCAGTGTGTGGAGGAGAAGGAGTGTGTGTTGTCAGTGTGTGGAGGAGAAGGAGTGTGTGTTGTCAGAGTGTGGAGGAGAAGGAGTGTGTGTTGTCAGTGTGTGGAGGAGAAGGAGTGTGTGTTGTCAGTGTGTGGAGGAGGAGAAGGAGTGTGTGTTGTCAGTGTGTGGAGGAGGAGGAGTGTGTGTTGTCAGTGTGTGGAGGAGAAGGAGTGTGTGTTGTCAGTGTGTGGAGGAGGAGGAGTGTGTGTTGTCAGTGTGTGGAGGAGAAGGAGTGTGTGTTGTCAGTGTGTGGAGGAGAAGGAGTGTGTGTTGTCAGTGTGTGGAGGAGAAGGAGTGTGTGTTGTCAGTGTGTGGAGGAGAAGGAGTGTGTGTTGTCAGTGTGTGGAGGAGAAGGAGTGTGTGTTGTCAGTGTGTGAGGAGGAGGAGTGTGTGTTGTCAGTGTGTGGAGGAGAAGGAGTGTGTGTTGTCAGTGTGTGGAGGAGGAGAAGGAGTGTGTGTTGTCAGTGTGTGGAAACATGGTAAAGACGTTATTTGATGAGAAAAAAAATACAACAAAATTGACTCCGCCTCAAAGTCATTTTGGCGCATTTTGCCGTAATCTAACTATTAGAAGAAGAAGACTCCTTTTGGCTCAATCTTTTGGGTTGATGCCATTTTGCCACAGGACGAAAGAGCCATGTCAGCTAAAAAGGCCGCGACCAATATCGTAATGCCAAGCTCCGTAACAGAGTGTGTGTGCGCCCGACGCTGCATTGGAGCGAGGACACTCGGCTGCGGCGTGCTGATCTCTGTGCTAAAATCAAAGATTATAACCGGGAAAACTGACCTGAGATCTGGGAAAAAGGTGTCAGGGCAGGGCCTCGCGTTTCAAGTTCACACAGGGCCTCGCACCCCCCTTGCGACGGGCCTGGGTACAGAGGATCACTGCCTTTAGTGTCCCTGTGCTACAGCACACAGGTACAGAGGATCTGCCTGTAGTGCCCCTGTGCTACAGCACACAGGTACAGAGGATCACTGCCTGTAGCGTCCCTGTGCTACAGCACACAGGTACAGAGGATCACTGCCTGTAGCGTCCCTGTGCTACAGCACACAGGTACAGAGGATCGCTGCCTGTAGTGTCCCTGTGCTACAGCACACAGGTACAGAGGATCGCTGCCTGTAGTGTCCTTGTGCTACAGCACACAGGTACAGAGGATCGCTGCCTGTGGTGTCCTTGTGCTTCAGCACACAGGTACAGAGGATCGCTGCCTGTAGTGTCCCTGTGCTACAGCACACAGGTACAGAGGATCGCTGCCTGTAGTGTCCTTGTGCTTCAGCACACAGGTACAGAGGATCGCTGCCTGTAGTGTCCCTGTGCTACAGCACACAGGTACAGAGGATCGCTGCCTGTAGTGTCCTTGTGCTACAGCACACAGGTACAGAGGATCGCTGCCTGTAGTGTCCTTTTGCTTCAGCACACAGGTACAGAGGATCGCTGCCTGTAGTGTCCCTGTGCTACAGCACACATGTACATAGGTTCTGCCTGTAGTGTCCTTGTGCTTCAGCACACAGGTACAGAGGATCGCTGCCTGTAGTGTCCCTGTGCTACAGCACACAGGTACAGAGGATCACTGCCTGTAGTGTCCTTGTGCTACAGAACACAGGTACAGAGGATCTGCCTGTAGTGCCCCTGTGCTACAGCACACAGGTACAGAGGATCGCTGCCTGTAGTGTCCCCGTGCTACAGCACACAGGTACAGAGGATCGCTGCCTGTAGTGTCCCCGTGCTACAGCACACAGGTACAGAGGATCGCTGCCTGTAGTGTCCCCGTGCTACAGCACACAGGTACAGAGGATCGCTGCCTGTAGTGTCCCTGTGCTACAGAACACAGGTACAGAGGATCTGCCTGTAGTGCCCCTGTGCTACAGCACACAGGTACAGAGGATCGCTGCTTGTAGTGTCCCTGTGCTACAGCACACAGGTACAGAGGATCGCTGCCTGTAGTGTCCCCATGCTACAGCACACAGGTACAGAGGATCTGCCTGTAGTGTACCTGTGCTCCTGAGTCCTGACTTTGTACCTTTGGACCACTTTTACCTTATTATTATTGTATTGGGGAGGCCTACTGTCATTCGTCGGTTTCATATTATTATTTTTCCGCAAGATCAATTCACCTTGGAGGGACCCATGAGGAAAATGCCGTTAGACTTATTAGATTTAAGCATGTTTATTGATTGAGAAAAAAAATACAACAAAATTGACTCCGCCTCAAAGTCATTTTGGCGCATTTTGCCGTAATCTAACTATTAGAAGAAGAAGACTCCTTTTGGCTCAATCTTTTGGGTTGATGCCATTTTGCCACAGGACGAAAGAGCCATGTCAGCTAAAAAGGCCGCGACCAATATCGTAATGCCAAGCTCCGTAACAGAGTGTGTGTGCGCCCGACGCTGCATTGGAGCGAGGACACTCGGCTGCGGCGTGCTGATCTCTGTGCTAAAATCAAAGATTATAACCGGGAAAACTGACCTGAGATCTGGGAAAAAGGTGTCAGGGCAGGGCCTCGCGTTTCAAGTTCACACAGGGCCTCGCACCCCCCTTGCGACGGGCCTGGGTACAGAGGATCACTGCCTTTAGTGTCCCTGTGCACCCGGACCTGGCACGACGCCGCGGGCCGCGAGGAAGGTGCGGACGGATCCAGCATCCTGGGACGCCAGGCGCGCGCTTTTCCGGGACCGGTCGGGCACAGGCGAGGGGGGAATGAACAAATCGTTCAGAGAGCTAGGCGTCGAGCCCGAAACAGACGGGGACGCATGAGCGCGGGGCGAAGATTGCATGGTGGACAGTTGCATTACGCTGAAATACACTTGCAGACTTCAGAAGGTCGGGAAGTGGGCGTCTCCGGCTTTTAACTTGCTGTCCTGGTGGTTATTGGTTGACTGGATGTGGGCGTTGCTGGTATTGATGAGTCGAGGAAGAGCAGCCTGTGGCCTGGGCAGCAGCAGCCGGGTCTACCACGGTGAACTTTTGCAAAAGCTCCATTTTGATTTTTGACCCTGAAGACAGGCACAAAAGTCTGAACATGGGGGGTCAAAAACGACAAAAGGCGATTCGATAGCGCCCCCTGGAAAAGTCAAATTTGCAAAGCCTGTGGGAGCCAGGCATGCATATTTTGGAGTAGGTACATGAAATTCAGATCAGTGATAGATCTCTATGAGACGAGCATAAAATCTCTGGGCCTCACTCTGGGACCAACAGGAAGTCGGCCATGATGGGCTGAAGTTTCGCCGCTAATTTGACTTTTCATCTCTTACTTTGAACTAGTCCCTGGTTTTTCATCACACAGAGTTCTACCACGTCATTTCCTAATCTGGACGGATGGAAGTTATACAATCATCAAAAAAAGGTTAGAAAATCATCACCGCTTTCGTCCCTCGCCATGGCGAATAAGGCCTTCGTTTTGGCCGTTTTCGCTGAGCCCTGAGGGCCACAGGCTCAGACCTACAGAGCTGAACAGAGCTAACAGTTGGTAATGGCCTGAGCGCAATGGTGTGAAAATACACACCTTATATGACTCTATAGCGCCACCTATGGAAGGCTTCTGACCTTAACTTTCCCAATCCTCACCAAAGTCGCACAATGAATTCTTTACGTCCGTGAGAGCAAAATACTATCCTACGCAGAGAGTGCATGTCCCAGACGTGACCACTAGGGGCGCACTTTATCCTATTAATGAGCTTTTATGTACGTAATCCTGGTCGGATTGGGCTGCCAATTCGTCGGTGAGTACGCCGCGTGACGCTTGTGTGATTGGCGCCCGGGAGGCGGTCGCGAGAGTGGCGAGGCCTTTCATCGCCGCTTGCGGCTTTAATTATTACTATTTTCATTATAATTATCATTATTTTATTTTATTTTTAACTTATCTATTGCGTCTCTCTTTTTTAACTGCAAAAAGAATCTAACCACGGGTACAAATAAAGTCACCTTGAACCTTGAAGACAAATTGTCACAGACAATAAAGACTAATCCAGTCTTTTCTCCTGAAGTCAGAGTGTGTCACAGGTTTGTGTGTGTGTTGTTTTGTGTGTCTGAAGCTTTGTGTAGTGTGTGTATAATAAAGAGAGAACAGGACACATGGACATGAGTCACATCTGTGTGAAACTAGTCCTTCAGCTCAACATCTACAAACCACTGAATGACCGACCTTAAATATGGAGACCAGGTGAGAGCCATGGTGCGGACCAGTGGAGACATCTGCAGCCGTTCTGTGGAGAGACAGAGACACTTATGTCCATGAGACTGAGACACTTATGTCCATGAGACAGAGACACTTATGTCCATGAGACTGAGACACTTATGTCCATGAGACAGAGACACTTATGTCCATGAGACTGAGACACTTATGTCCATGAGACAGAGACACTTATGTCCATGAGACTGAGACACTTATGTCCATGAGACAGAGACACTTATGTCCATGAGACTGAGACACTTATGTCCATGAGACTGAGACACTTATGTCCATGAGACTGAGACACTTATGTCCATGAGACTGAGACACTTATGTCCATGAGACAGAGACACTTATGTCCATGAGACAGAGACACTTATGTCCATGAGACTGAGACACTTATGTCCATGAGAGAGACACTTATGTCCATGAGACTGAGACACTTATGTCCATGACTTTTATTCCTCACATAAAGAATATCACAAAAATAGGTTTTTATCATTTAAAGAACATCGCCAGAGTCCGCCCCATTCTCTCTCGGGGCAACACGGAGACGCTGATGCTTTTATCACCAGTCGCATTGACTACTGTAATGCCCTGCTCTCTGGTCTTCCCAAAAAGAACATTTCAGGTTTACAATTACTTCAAAACTCGGCCGCACGTGTCCTGACTAAGACCAGGGGGCGTGTCCTGACTAAGACCAGGGGGCGGGACCACATTACACCGGTTTTAAAATCGCTGCATTGGCTCCCCGTGTGTTTCAGGATCGATTTTAAGGTTCTTTTAATGGTTTTTAAATGTCTTACTGGTCTTGGGCCTTCTTATCTTTCAGATTTGCTTTTATCCTATGAGCCTTCCCGGCCCCTGCGCTCCTCCGGCAGCAGACTCCTAACCATCCCCAAAGTCAGGACACACACTCACGGTGAGGCTTCTTTCCAGCACTACGGCCCCCGTCTCTGGAACAGTCTGAGGAGGAGCTCAGGGCCGCAGAGAACGTTCATATTTTTAAGAGTAGGCTCAAGACGCACCTTTTTAGAGTAGCTTTTGATTAGTATTTATTATTTATTATTGCTTTTTAGTACATCTATTTATGTTTTTAGACACATTCTATTTTTATTTATTTTTATTATTTACTATTTTTAATTATTTATTGTATCTACCCATTTACTATTGTTATTATTAATATTAGGCAGCTGCCATCTTTCTTTTTATTGTCGCATTTTATTGTTCTACTTTCTATTGTATTATTGTATTGTTTTAGTGTCCCCAGTGTTTCCTCTGGAGGAGCCCTCTGCACTGAGAGCTGGGGTCTGCTGCGGCTTCGGGGGTCTGGCTCTTGGATCCGGTGGGGGTCTGGGGCCTCCTCTCTCCTCTGGGTCCTATGGGGTCTGAGTCCTGGGCCTGGTGGGGTCTAGGGCCCCTCTCTCCTCTGGGTCCTGTGTCGTTCCCTGTGGCTGCAGCCGGCTCTCTGCTCCTGGTGCAGATGGCTCCTTGGATGACGCTTCTTCAGCCGGTTACATCTGCTCCCAGCCCCATTTCTTTTTATTGTTTTACCTATTTTACCTGATATGACTTTATACTTGTGTGTGTGTGTATGTGTGTGTGTGTGGGTGTATATCTGTGTGTGTGTATACGCATGTGGTTGTATATATAATTATAAATGTGGTTTTGGGGGGGTCTGTGGGGAGGAGGGTTTAGGGCTGGGAATGTTGGATTGTTTTTAACTAAACTGTAAAGCACTTTGTGTTACACTTTTTGTATGAAAAGCACTTTATAAATAAAATTTGATTGATTGATTGATTGATGAGACAGAGACACTTATGTCCATGAGACAGAGACACTTACAGTATGTCCATGAGACTGAGACAATTATGTCCATGAGACTGAGACACTTATGTCCATGAGACTGAGACACTTATGTCCATGAGACTGAGACACTTATGTCCATGAAACTCACACTGTCCTGAAGTTCCATCGTTTATCCATAGACCGGTCACTCCTGAAGTTCCGTGGTAACTCCTTAGACCAGTCACTCCTGAGGGACTCACATCTGGGACCAGGTCCAGACTGAAGTTTGTGGAGGATCCTGAGACACAGAAGAAGAGAGCTTCAGTGTTGGAGAGGCCTTCACCACAGGCTGTGTCACGTCCACAAACACACAGATATCATCTACACCTGGTATCTACACCTGGTATCTACACCTGGTATGAGCTCTGTCCATGTCTTCAGGACACTGTGTCTGTGAGCTGCTAATACAAGGAGTGGGACTTACCAAGGACCAGCTCCTCTTTATCATGGTTTTGTCCTGGTTTAGTCGTGGTTTAGTCCTGGTTTAGTCCTGGTTTATTCCCTGGTTTAGTCCTGGTTTAGTCCCTGGTTTAGTCCCTGGTTTAGTCCTGGTTTAGTCCTGGTTTAGTCCTGGTTTAGTCCCTGGTTTAGTCCCTGGTTTAGTCCCTGGTTTAGTCCTGGTTTAGTCCCTGGTGACATTATTAGTGACAGGAGTCCGCGCCATAATAGTCCACAGTCAGCCACAGTTTACGTCCTCCGTGTGGCCACCGCGGTAAAGAGGTCCGGCTTTTCGGAGTCAGCGGTAAAGCCGTCCGCACATTAAAAGCGTATAGCCGCTTTATGCTGTTAATTACAGTAACATTGGAAAGAGAAGCCGCGGGGATGAGCCGCCACAATGCACGTTTTAACATAAAGCGGCCACCCGCTTTTAACGTGCGGACCTCTTTACCGCTGACTGAATGGGCTTAGTGCTGTGTGAAAATCCCTCGTCAAAGGCCTGGGCTCCGCACCGTGCTCCTCTTTGTTGTCATCGTTGCAACATGTTCAGAAGTTCAACTTTTAGCACTAACCATGTTGTGGGTTTAGTCCATGGTTTTGTCAAGGAGAAAATTAGCATACATCACTTACAGTCACACTGCTAGCTCTCAGACATGGATTTACATTTGTCAGTGTGAATGCTGTGATACAGGAAACACTGCACAGAGATCACCCCTTAGCCAATCAGGACGCAGAACACAGTACGCTGGTTCTTCCTTAGCCAATCAGGATGAACATTGCAAGTTCATATACAGTGAAAATCATGCTACAAATAAATCTACAAGACCGCGAAAAGAGAACTGCTATTCAGCTGAGGAGACTCCGATTCAGAATAAAGAATAACACAAGTTTCTGATCTGGTGTTTGTATGTAATTTTTTTACTATCATGTTTTAGATTATAGATTAGACAGTAATGTTTTTGCACTTTATGATTTGAGAATTGTATACATGAATGTGTAAAAAAATTGAGGGGGGGATATCCCCCCCTAGGGCCATGGCTAGGGGGGGACTGATCCCCCCCATCCCCCCCTCTGGAGGAAACCCTGCAGAGGAACAACAGGAGATGACCGCCCAGACCCTGACCTGCTTAGCCTCAGACACACATGAATCACAGTCAGACTTACCCATGATCTTCCTCCTTTTTAAAGTCAATCAATATATCAAAGGAGCTCAGTGACGCCGCCCTTCTGGTGGTGGGAGGACAGTGCTCTCTCTGGTCCATGCTCAGTCTCTCCATAGACCGGTCACTCCTGAAGTTCCGTGGTAACTCCTTAGACCAGTCACTCCTGAGGGACTCACATCTGGGACCAGGTCCAGACTGAAGTTTGTGGAGGATCCTGAGACACAGAAGAAGAGAGCTTCAGTGTTGGAGAGGTCTTTGCCATAGGCTGCGTCACGTCCACAAACACACAGATATCATCTACACCTGGTATCTACACCTGGTATGAGCTCTGTCCATGTCTTCAGGACACTGTGTCTGTGAGCTGCTAATACGAGGAGTGGGACTTACCAAGGACCAGCTCCTCTTTATCATGGTTTAGTCGTAGTTTAGTCGTGGTTTAGTCCTGGTTTAGTCCTGGTTTAGTCCTGGTTTATTCCCTGGTTTATTCCCTGGTTTAGTCCCTGGTTTAGTCCTGGTTTAGTCCTGGTTTAGTCCTGGTTTAGTCCCTGGTTTAGTCCCTGGTTTAGTCCCTGGTTTAGTCCTGGTTTAGTCCCTGGTTTAGTTCTGGTTTAGTCCTGGTTTAGTCCTGGTTTAGTCCTGGTTTAGTCCTGGTTTAGTCTTGGTTTAGTCTTGGTTTAGTCCTGGTTTAGTCCTGGTTGAGCCCAGACATTTCACTTCTGCAGTTCCATCTACAGGAGGATCTTTGAGTGACGTCGTTGTTTAAAGTTGTTCATAAACAATCACTAACGCAGACACATGGTACTTACTTTCTGGTCACTAGCACAGACACATCAACACGTCACACATGGTACGTATACTTTCTGGTCACTAACACAGACACATCAACACGTCACACATGGTACTTACTTTCTGGTCACTAACACAGACACATCAACACATCACACATGGTACTTCCTTTCTGGTCACTAACACAGACACATAAACACGTCACACATGGTACTTCCTTCCTGGTCCCTCACACAGACACATCAACACGTCACACATGGTACTTCCTTTCTGGTCACTAACACAGACACATCAACACGTCACACATGGTACGTATACTTTCTGGTCACTCACACAGACACATCAACACGTCACACATGGTACTTACTTTCTGGTCACTCACACAGACACATCAACACGTCACACATGGTACTTACTGTCTGGTCACTAACACAGACACATCAACACGTCACACATGGTACTTACTTTCTGGTCACTAACACAGACACATCAACACGTCACACATGGTACTTACTTTCTGGTCACTAACACAGACACATCAACACGTCACACATGGTACTTACTTTCTGGTCACTAACACAGACACATCAACACGTCACACATGGTACTTACTTTCTGGTCACTAACACAGACACATCAACACGTCACACATGGTACTTACTTTCTGGTCACTAACACAGACACATCAACACGTCACACATGGTACTTACTTTCTGGTCACTAACACAGACACATCAACACGTCACACATGGTACTTCCTTTCTGGTCACTAACACAGACACATCAACACGTCACACATGGTACTTACTTTCTGGTCACTAACACAGACACATCAACACGTCACACATGGTACTTACTTTCTGGTCACTAACACAGACACATCAACACGTCACACATGGTACTTACTTTCTGGTCACTAACACAGACACATCAACACGTCACACATGGTAATTAACAGCAGAAATATTCCTCAAATCAAAATGAGCTGTGGATCTGAAAACTAAAAAATCAGTTCAACGATACAGAGGAACAACAGGAGATGACCGCCCAGGCCCTGACCTGCTTAGCCTCAGACACACATGAATCACAGTCAGACTTACCCATGATCTTCCTCCTTTTTAAAGTCAACATATGGGGGGGGGGGGCGGTCGAGGTCCGATACCCCAGAAAAAGAATTCACACGTTTATTGCAGTAGTTTTTGTTAATATTTTTCACGAGGAGTTAGTGGACATGTGTGCCTTTAATATGAGCGGCCTTTGTGGGAATGGTTATATTCAAAGTATTAGAGTAAAATGAGTTTGTAAAACACCTGCGGCGCAGCGACGCGAAACAGGAGCTGTAGTTCTGAGCGGAGCCAGAGCAGAGCCAGAGGTCTCCAGAGATCAGAGAAGTGTTTGGTACTGGCTCACTCAGATTCAGAGGAGGAAGACACGCAGGTCTCCAGTGAAGCAGACACAGACATTATTAGTGACAGGAGTCCGCGCCATAATAGTCCACAGTCAGCCACAGTTTACGTCCTCCGTGTGGCCACCGCGGTAAAGAGGTCCGGCTTTTCGGAGTCAGCGGTAAAGCCGTCCGCACATTAAAAGCGTATAGCTGCTTTATGCTGTTAATTACAGTAACATTGGAAAGAGAAGCCGCGGGGATGAGCCGCCACAATGCACGTTTTAACATAAAGCGGCCACCCGCTTTTAACGTGCGGACCTCTTTACCGCTGACTGAATGGGCTTAGTGCTGTGTGAAAATCCCTCGTCAAAGGCCTGGGCTCCGCACCGTGCTCCTCTTTGTTGTCATCGTTGCAACATGTTCAGAAGTTCAACTTTTAGCACTAACCATGTTGTGGGTTTAGTCCATGGTTTTGTCAAGGAGAAAATTAGCATACATCACTTACAGTCACACTGCTAGCTCTCAGACATGGATTTACATTTGTCAGTGTGAATGCTGTGATACAGGAAACACTGCACAGAGATCACCCCTTAGCCAATCAGGACGCAGAACACAGTACGCTGGTTCTTCCTTAGCCAATCAGGATGAACATTGCAAGTTCATATACAGTGAAAATCATGCTACAAATAAATCTACAAGACCGCGAAAAGAGAACTGCTATTCAGCTGAGGAGACTCCGATTCAGAATAAAGAATAACACAAGTTTCTGATCTGGTGTTTGTATGTAATTTTTTTACTATCATGTTTTAGATTATAGATTAGACAGTAATGTTTTTGCACTTTATGATTTGAGAATTGTATACATGAATGTGTAAAAAAATTGAGGGGGGATATCCCCCCCTAGGGCCATGGCTAGGGGGGGACTGATCCCCCCCATCCCCCCCTCTGGAGGAAACCCTGCAGAGGAACAACAGGAGATGACCGCCCAGGCCCTGACCTGCTTAGCCTCAGGCACACATGAATCACAGTCAGACTTACCCATGATCTTCCTCCTTTTTAAAGTCAATCAATATATCAAAGGAGCTCAGTGACGCCGCCCTTCTGGTGGTGGGAGGACAGTGCTCTCTCTGGTCCATGCTCAGTCTCTCTGTCGCCGCCCTGCTGGTGGTCAGTCCAGACTCCTACACAATAAAACAGTGTTTGACTCCGCCCACTGTTCCTATGGTAACTGTTGTGTACATTAGTCACACATTAACACGTCACACATGGTACTTACTTTCTGGTCACTAACACAGACACATGGTACTTACTTTCTGGTCACTAACACAGACACATGGTACTTACTTTCTGGTCACTAACACAGACACATGGTACTTACTTTCTGGTCACTAACACAGACACATGGTACTTACTTTCTGGTCACTAACACTAACTCTCTGGTCTCTCTCTGGTCTCTCTCTCTGGTTTCTCTCTGGCCGCTCTGTCTGGCCTCTCTCTGGTCTCTCTCTGGTCTCTCTCTGGTCTCTCTCTGGTCTCTCTCTCGTCTCTCTCTCGTCTCTCTCTCTGGTCTCTCTCTGGTCTCTCTGGTCTCTCTCTGGTGTCTCTCTCTGGTCTCTCTCTGTTCTCTCTCTGTTCTCTCTCTGCTCTCTCTGGTCTCTCTCTGGTCTCTCTCTGGTCTCTCTCTGTTCTCTCTCTGTTCTCTCTCTGTTCTCTCTTGTCTCTCTCTGGTCTCTCTCTCTGGTCTCTCTCTGGTCCCTCTGGTCTCTCTCTGGTCTCTCTCTTTCCAGATACAGATCATTATCTTCCACAATTATTATTGGTTATTATTATTATTAATCCACAAACAGCTGTGTCTGCACAAACCCAGTTAGTGACTTACTTTCTGGTCACTAACACAGACACATGGTAATTACTTTCTGGTCACTAACACAGACACATGGTAATTACTTTCTGGTCACTAACACAGACACATGGTACTTACTTTCTGGTCACTAACACAGACACATGGTACTTACTTTCTGGTCACTAACACAGACACATGGTACTTACTTTCTGGTCACTAACACAGACACATGGTACTTACTTTCTGGTCACTAACACAGACAAGGCTGCCCTTTGTCACCGGTTCTGTTCACTGTATTTATGGACAGAATTTCTAGGCGCAGCCAGGGGCCGGAGGGGGTCCGGTTTGGGAACCACAGGATTTCATCTCTACTTTTTGCGGATGATGTCGTCCTGTTGGCTCCAACGAACCAGGACCTGCAGCATGCACTGAGACGGTTTGCAGCCGAGTGCGAAGCGGCTGGGATGAGAATCAGCACCTCCAAATCCGAGGCCATGGTGCTCGACCGGAAAAAGGTGCCTTGCCCTCTGCAGGTGGGTGGAGAGGTCCTTCCTCAAGTGGAGGAGTTCAAGTATCTCGGGGTCTTGTTCACGAGTGAGGGAAGGATGGAGCGTGAGATTGACAGGCGGATCGGTGCAGCGTGCGCAGTGATGCGGTCGCTGTATTGGACCGTTGTGGTAAAGAGGGAGCTGAGCCGAAAGGCAAAGCTCTCGATTTACCGGTCAATCTTCATTCCCTCCCTCACCTATGGTCATGAGCTTTGGGTAATGACCGAAAGAACGAGATCGCGGATACAAGCGGTCGAAATGAGCTTCCTCCGCAGAGTGGCTGGGCGCTCCCTTAGAGATAGGGTGAGGAGCTCGGTCACACGGGAGGAGCTCGGAGTAGAGCCGCTGCTTCTCCACGTCGAGAGGAACCAGTTGAGGTGGCTCGGGCATCTGTTCAGGATGCCTCCTGGACGCCTCCCTGGGGAGGTGTTCCGGGCACGTCCCACCGGGAGGAGGCCCCGGGGAAGACCCAGGACACGCTGGAGTGACTATGTCTCTCAGCTGGCCTGGGAACGCCTTGGGGTCCCCCCGGACGAGCTGGAGGAAGTGTGTGTGGATAGGGAAGTCTGGGCGTCTCTGCTTAGACTGCTGCCCCCGCGACCCGGCAACGGATAAAGCGGAAGAAAATGGATGGAAATGGATGGATGACACAGACACATGGTACTTACTTTCTGGTCACTAACATAGACACATGGTACTTATTTTGTGGTCACTCACACAGACACATGGTACTTACTTTCTGGTCACTCACACAGACACATGGTACTTACTTTCTGGTCACTAACACAGACACATGGTACTTACTTTCTGGTCACTACTTACTTTCTGGTCACTAACACAGACACATGGTACTTACTTTCTGGTCACAAACACAGACACATGGTACGTACTTTCTGGTGACTAACACAGACACATGGTACTTACTTTCTGGTCACTAACACAGACACATGGTTCTTACTTTCTGGTCACTAACACAGACACATGGTACTTACTTTCTGGTCACTAACACAGACACATGGTACTTACTTTCTGGTCACTAACACAGACACATGGTACTTACTTTCTGGTCACTAACACAGACACATGGTACTTACTTTCTGGTCACTAACACAGACACATGGTACTTACTTTCTGGTCACTAACACAGACACATGGTTCTTACTTTCTGGTCACTAACACAGACACATGGTACTTACTTTCTGGTCACTAACACAGACACATGGTACTTACTTTCTGGTCACTAACACAGACACATGGTTCTTACTTTCTGGTCACTAACACAGACACATGGTACTTACTTTCTGGTCACTAACACAGACACATGGTACTTACTTTCTGGTCACTAACACAGACACATGGTACTTACTTTCTGGTCACTAACACAGACACACGGTACTTACTTTCTGGTCACTAACACAGACACATGGTACTTACTTTCTGGTCACTAACACAGACACATGGTACTTACTTTCTGGTCACTAACACAGACACATGGTACT